TGGTACCAGAGCATTCTGCCACAATATCGGCATGTATTCTCAGAAATACTGCCATCCACGTGTTGACGAGCTCAAAGTCTCTTCTCGATCCCAGGCGAGTAGATAACGCGGAGACAAAGGCGGATAGCTCAGAGTAACCGTCTCGTACCTGTGGATCCAGTGACCTAATCTCAAGGTCTGCCTTTGCTGGAGGCATACCTTTCAAGTGCTCAACAAACGAATCGAAGTTTCCCGAGACATAACCTGAATGTAGAAGATCACTGAAACGCGTGCTCATAATTCCGGACGTATCCTTGGAATTGTGGAGTTTCGCGATTCGCGAGCGCTCAGCAACCGTGCCCTCACTTGATGTATTCGGGTCACTATCGGGGAGCTTTTGTTCACCAGCAGCTGGAAGAAAGAATGGAGCCTTTTGGGGGGCTTTCGGTGGATCTTTAGGTTTGTTGCGTTCCTGGCAGAGGTCAGAAGCTAATCATTAGGCCAAGGCGAGGCACATTATCTATCTGATAAACATGCAGCTGTAACAGCAAAAAGTGGGAAAGGGCTCACCTTGATTAAGTTCAACTGAAGCAACGTTTGCCACTTGCTCTTAGGAACAACACTAAGAGTGACCATATCCCCGTTGAGCTGTTCGATGGATGGTAACGGGCCGTCCACTTCCGCTTCATCAGAGCCATCTGAAAATGCTGCTTCGATAACTCCAGGATAGCCGTCGTTGGAAGAAGTGGGGATGTGAACATTTGTCATGGCATGCTCATCCACATGCCGCGTTGAGATAGGTACAAACAAACTTTTGTTGGACCAAAGGCTGATCCCTACCCCGTCAGCATGTGCAGTAGCCAAGAACTCGCCCGTTGAGGACATCGCCAAAGAGGTGCATGTGCTTGAGGCGCGGAATACATCAATGAGATGGCCCGTTGGTAAATCCCAAACGCGGATTGTAGAGTCCATGGAAGCTGCAATGATCCAGCGTCCATCGGTTGAGAAAGTGAGATCATTGATTTGGCCCACGCATCCCCAAAATTCACGAATGACTTTCTTGGTTTCAACATCAACAACGCGAATTGAGAGGTCGTCACAGCTAAATGCAACAAGCTCGTTTGTGTGGTTGCTTCGAAGTCCAATGATAGAAGTCATAGGATACCAATCAAGCTGATCAACCAGGTGACCCGACACTAGGTCCCAAAACTGATTTGGAATGAAAACCTCAGTACAATTTATATCAGGCACAGAGGGGAGTTGGTCTTACCTTGACTTTACCGTCGAGTCCACAACTAATAACAGTTCGATTCAGTCCATCAATCATCAAGCCAGTGACTGCTTTGGTGTGTTTGATATCATGGCTCTCAGAGATGAGCGACGGAGTAGGCCGTTGTTTAAGATCACCCTTGGGAGACTTGGCTGGGAAGCTCTGTCTGTATAGACCAGATTGCATGTTGAACATGTCAATGGTACCTCCCGCAGACCCAATTATTGCGAAGGTTCCGCAACGTGAAAGAGCCACACTCTATCACAAAGACATCAGAAAGAAAGTTCTCGATATACCGAGGTATTTGCTTACCTTGACTTCAGTTCCATCGCTGGTTTCGAACGCCCAACGCCCGGCTTTCTTTTTGCCCCAGAACCATGTTCGAGCATATTTATCTCCACGATGGCCAGTAACTATACTTTCCCAGCCCGTCTTGCTCGAATCTTCTGCTCTTGTTGTTTTAGGATTCGCCCAGATGGGGCCGGACGTCGTGGTACCCATCCCGCCATCGCGGTTCAAGGAGCAGGCGATACAGGTGATTTCCGGTGCCCGGAAGTCGGTTTCCAAATTAGCATGCGTGGCACCAGTATAGGTGCTGGGTGCACCCCTTCTTTTGGATTTGTGTTCAACGGCTCCCTGAGAAATCTCGGTGTTCTGGCTATCCTTCCGTACACTGAAACCCCAGAGGCTGCAATCCTTACTAGCGCTCAGCAACCACTTTCCACTGAATTCAGAGCCATCAGACCCTGAAGGCAAGAACTCTAGGGCAGTAATTGCAGCCGAATGCCCACTCCTTATGTGAAGAGGCCTGGGAATATGCGAGAATGGAATTTCATCGAAAATCCATGTCTTGAGAGAATTATCTTTCCCAGATGAGACCAGGACAGGCTGGCCGTCCAGGAACTGTAAATGGCTTATTCCCGAACCCGACTCACCAGCGAGTGCATGTGCCCGGCGGAGGACGCCCATCGCCCTTCCACCGTTGTTCAGGTCCCATATAGTGACATCACCACTTTCAACAGAACCAGTCACCATCATGCCAGCAGTTCGTCCATGTTCGCCCGCACCTAAGCCATCTTGCCGAAAGGCGAGCGATGTGACGCAGTCCATTTGTGGAGAGCCTGCACGCAAGGTCATAGCCAGTTGGCATGTCTCAACATTACAGATAGATAGTGCCCCACTCTTGTATGCAATGGCAATCAGGGATAACGCGGGTGTTGGTTGAAGAGCAGTCACTGCACCTGCATGTGCTGACATTGGGGGCATTGAATATACTAGCCTCCCGGTCTTTACATTCCAGATGTCAACCTTTCCGTCACATCTGCCAACGAATACTTTGTTGAGGTATGTCGGCATGTTGCAGATTTGACCGGCATATACCGGTCCATCTGAAAGGTTACTGACACGTTGAGGTCTGAGTGTCGTGTAGTGTTGATACGAGGCATTTTTCCACACTTGAATGCACCTGCTGCTGCAGCCAACAATCCATGTGCCGAATACAAGCAGCCGTTCAATGGGCTCCGAAAACCCAGCAGGCACTTCTAAAGACGCAATCTTTTTACCTCTCTTGAACACCCATATACCCCCTTCCGAGCCGGGGCGAAGGTTTCCCCATGCTGCAAAGATCCTGTCTTGCCAAGCACAAGTGGCAGTGATGATATCTGGCGTCTGAGGACGACTAATAAATACCAAGTTGAGGCCTCGCTTCAGATCGTAGGTCTGCAAGCAGCGCCCTACAGATGTGGTAATTTGGAATGTCGCTTTGCCTAGGCGGACAGAGGTGAAGGGAACTTCGGTTGATACCAGTCCTAAAGTCTGCATTAGAATTAGTATATTTCATTATATAACATCTGGGCAGCTAGCCAGCCTCCAGGTAAAAACGTTCGTCAAAGTAAGGTTTTTTTTGCTTACCCGGAAGGGCGAAAAGATTTTAGATCCAGGCGTTCGCGGGGATTTCTCAGTTTCCTCTGCGACTGTTCTCTTTTGCCGTTTTGCCAGAGGCAAATCAAAGCCATCATCTTTCAAAGACGGCATTATTCGTTTATTTCAACTGTAATTGAGTGAACGAGGCGCCAGAAAGCTAATGGTATCTAAAGTAAATATTTCTGGAGGCATATCTGCGACGGAATTATTGTATCTCCGGCTTACAGGAACCCTTCCTATTGGTCCAAATTACAGTGTGCGAAGTACGACAGTACCTACTACTTAGTACTTACTATACTAGTACTCGATAGGTACTGCGTCCAATGTAACTACTACTGGATGACAATATTATGGACTACTCTTGCGGAAACATTTTTTAGAATTTTAAGGAGATTCAATCATATTATCCTACATTGAGTGCTACTCTGGTTCAGGTGTCTTTTGAAAGTAAATTACACTAACCAGTCACAGTCACATGATCTATACCACTTGGTTCTTCCGTAATGATAATTACCACAGAAATGTAATAAAGTTAAGCTCTTTATTTGAGGGTATACACTATTTTCATACATGAACGTCTTTAGGTACGTAGGCTTTTCCAAGTCATATGACCAACTCGGGTTTGACAGTCGCATATGACTTGTTGTATTTCTTAGATTCCATAGCATGCACATATACCCTGCTGGTTGGTATGGTACTGCGGAAGCAATGGCTCAACAATTGAAACATTCATTTTGATTACTATGGTAGCATTAAGCATAGCTTTGCTTAATCGCCTGGTTTTGAATCATCTACTAATATCATCTCTTGCAAAGCTAGAAAGGAAGGCCTAAATATTCTCGATATTCGGAACACGCAATTAGTTTTAGAGCGTTTCGATGAACCAATGATGTATGTGGAACGCCACTGTAAAACAAGACGACTTTGAAAGTCATGCTAGTCCTCTGTAGGTTGGCCACGCTGATCGGTAGACTAGAGAATATTCTACAACGTACTGCAATCTCTAGGGCATCTACACTTAAAAAGTACCAAAGTATTCATTGTCTGCCTCTTTCAGAGACAAGTAGAATATGCTTCATCTACCCCTCTTGACCCACAAACCCACAAATCGACCAAAATGTGGTTAAGCTGCAGAACGCGATTTGGCAGTTCAATCAAGGTAGGTACTTAGTTGATGCTACTACTACTATAAGTATCAACTATTGCTTCGTGTGGGAATCAATGGTATGGTAGTAGTACTTATTCGATATGGTTGTATTGTGAGCACCTCCAAACAGATTCATTATATTCTTGCGCTTACTTTGGTAGAAAGGCAAGGCAACAGACAAACCGAATTCGCCATTGCCTATAGGCCTGTGTACTGTGTGTATGCTGGGAACGAGTTCAACCAGGGGTGACAATAATAAATTGTTGGTGATCCGAGTTGTGGAACTAAATTGTTAGACTCCGCACTGCATGCATTAGCTTAATACCCAAGTCGCACTGTATGTAAGTATAGTTATACACTGTATGGAGTACCAAGCAGAACAATATATCTGCGAAATGTGCTCTGTAGACCTTCAAGAACTAGATTATCTTTCAGTTAACAATTCTGATTACAATTCTATAGTACTGAACGCAGCCCGCAATCCTCAATGACCTTAGTAGTATTGAACAGAAAGCCAACCTGCGATTTGCCTTAAGCTGGACCCGGCACAACGGGAAGGTCAATACGTACGTACCCACAATGCACAATCGCTCCTGCTGGATAACCACAGGGTTTAATTGCGCCACTTTCACAGCGGTCGCCAACGGGCCAGATTCAATTGAAAGAAAGCGAGGATAGAAACAATTTCAATCTATTTCTCTTTTCTTTTCTTTTCTCTTTTCTCACTTATTATATTTTATATCATTTTCCCCTTTCGAGGCAAAGGACCAACAAACAAACTGTACACCAAGACATATTTTCTGAGACGAAAATACGTCATTCACTGACTTTTCGTTATCTGTTGACTCCACGTTCGGCAAGCTCCTACCCAGAACCTGATCAGTGCCAACCTGTGACCAAGCTCATTTTGTCCGACATCTTCGTGCCAAATTTCTAAGCCTCCATGTTCAATGGATATCAGCGAGCCCATTGTCCCTCTTTCTAGTGACGTTGGCACCACAGTCCCCAGTATGGAAGCGAAGCCAGACTCCCGAGCATCGTCGCCGAGTGTAGGCTCCGATCGCATAGACAAAGGCTCCTTCAGCCTCCTCTCTGAACCAACCGCCCCGAATTCTTCGAAGGGAAACATCAATGGCGTGCAGGTCCAAGGATCCCAGCCGTACCAATTCGAAACTTCTTCAAGTAACTGGAACGTTGGACAAGGCCCTAACCCTTCAGTCCGCTCATCTAGTCGAGCGCCCAGAAGGCTCAGTGGGAGCACGGCTGCAAGCTCCATCAGTGAAGCTGAAGTCTCCGGAACACCGCACTTTGGAAGAATTGGTGTCTGTGCATTGGACGTGAAAGCTCGCAGCAAGCCTAGCCAAAACATATTGACGCGTCTTCAGTCCAAAGGTGGATTCGAAGTAATTGTCTTTGGTGACAAGGTGATCCTCGACGAAGCTGTAGAGAATTGGCCTATCTGCGAATACCTGATAGCATTCTTTTCTGATGGGTTTCCGCTGGACAAAGCTATCGCATATGCAAGACTTCGAAAGCCATTTTGTGTCAATGATCTCCCCATGCAGAAGGTATTATGGGACCGGCGTCTCTGCTTGAAGATACTAGATCAGATGAGCGTCCCGACACCCAAGAGACTGGAGGTTAACCGAGACGGAGGGCCTACCCTGGAATCCCCAGAACTCGCCGAGCATGTATATAATCTGACAGGAGTGAAACTCGAGGGTCCCAGTGACGGCACTGGTGGAGGAGCCTCGAGAACAATGAACGTGAGGATATCTGACGATGGTGATTCTCTTATTGTTGACGGCAAGGTTTTCAGAAAACCTTTCGTTGAGAAGCCAGTAAACGGGGAAGACCACAATATTCATATATACTTCCCCAATGACCAGCAATATAGTGGCGGTGGTAGAAGGCTATTTCGAAAGGTCGGGAACAAAAGCTCCGAATACGACCCCGACCTTACCGTCCCCAGATCAGTCACAGAAACGGATACAAGCTACATCTATGAACAGTTTCTGAGGGTCGATAATTCAGAGGACGTCAAAGCCTATACAGTCGGTCCAGATTTCTGCCATGCAGAGACGCGGAAGTCTCCTGTGGTTGACGGACTCGTTCGCCGCAATACCCATGGAAAGGAGCTCAGGTATATAACAAAACTGAGCAAGGATGAAGCAGCCATTGCTTCTAAAATATCAAATGGATTTGGCCAGAGGATATGCGGGTTCGACATGCTTCGCGTGGGGGAGAAAAGTTATGTGATTGACGTTAACGGCTGGAGCTTTGTCAAAGACAACAATGACTATTACGACAGATGCGCTGCTATTCTGAGAGACACTTTCCTGAATGAAAGGCGCAAACTCGAAGGAATCATTGAGCCCGTCGATGCTATTCCTGCTGATTCTGGACATTCTTGGAGACATTCCATGTCTCACAGACACACCCTGAAGACCCTTTTGAAATCCCCAAGTGCATCGAAGCTTCATGGGAGCCAAGCGGGCTTAAGAAGTTCTGACACAGGCTCGTCTGATTCCATTGTTTCGCGACCAATAACTTCATCATCCGCGGAGAAGGTCGACAATGGAAACGGCCATGTAGACCCTAGTGGGCTCGATAAACTCGCGCACCCCAAGATCTATACTTCGCAGAACTCTAAGTCGTCAATAGTACCAGTGGATCTACCTACCGAGGGCCTGCCGCCGCCGCCGCCGCCAGCTTCGAAACACTCATGGAAGCTCAAGGGAATGGTAGCAGTCATTAGACACGCAGATCGCACACCCAAGCAGAAGTTTAAATTTACGTTTCACAGCCAGCCTTTCATTGACTTGCTCAAAGGCCATCAAGAAGAGGTAGTGATAAAGGGTGAGGCTGCATTGGCAAGCGTTTCGGATGCGGTCAAGGTTGCCATGGACCGGAATCTTGAAGATATGGACAAGTTAAAGCTGCTCCGAACGTCACTTGAGAAGAAAGGTGGCTGGCCAGGGACTAAGGTCCAAATCAAACCAATGTTTCGCAAGCGGAAGCCAGAAGAGCTACGCGGGCAGACTTCGTCGGTCCTCCCGACATCCCCTTCTGAGCCACCGCAGCATGAATTACTTGTATCTACGCAAGACCAGCATTCCGCAGAAAATGATCAACTCAGTCGACCTCAAACGCGGAGTGACTCGATATCCGGTGCAACCTTTTCGAGATTCTCTGCCGCAGAAAACGACCTGATCCTAGACAAACTCCAACTCGTGATCAAGTGGGGTGGGGAACCAACACATGCAGCACGCTATCAATCGCAGGATTTAGGGCTTAACATGCGTGATGATCTGAAGCTCATGAACAAGGAAGCATTGAATAATGTCCGCATATATACAAGCTCTGAACGGAGAGTGAGCACGAGTGGTAAGTCCAAGACAATGCTCTTTCTGGTCTCATTCTAATGAGTAATATAGCCCAAATATGGGCTTGCTCCTTTCTCGATCAGAAGGAGCTGCCCGAAAATTTCATACAAGTCCGAAAAGATCTTCTGGACGACTCGAATGCTGCGAAGGATCTCATGGATAAGGTGAAAAAGAAGCTAAAGCTCCTTTTAAGGGAAGGATCCGCGCCCTCGCAGTTTACGTGGCCAAAGGACAATATCCCGGAACCATCAGTCGTGCTAGCTACTGTCGTTGAACTGATGAAGTTTCATCGGGATGTTATGAGACACAATTTCCGCAGATTTGACGAGTCATCGTCTCAGCCTTCTGGGACAGATGAAATAGATGACGGCTGCCCATCCTTCCAGCCTAACACAGGATGCGAAAAGCCTTCTTTGTCTTCCATTCAAGGAAGATGGTGTACAGGTGAAGATCCCATGCTTTTCAAAGAACGATGGGAGAAGCTTTTTGCCGAATTTTGCGATACGGAGAAGGTTGATCCCAGTAAACTTTCTGAGCTCTACGACAGCATGAAGTTCGATGCCCTTCATAACCGACAATTCTTAGAATGGGTCTTTATGCCACCCGATAGCGACGATAGTGAAGACGAAAAGCACCATTATGGCTTGAAGAATACCAGACGAGATGATTCTGTCAGTCCTAACAATGAGAGTGACAATGATAAAAATGAAGAACAAACAGAAGGCTCCATTTTTGCCCATCGGTTCGGATGGAAGAAGCGCATGCATGCATTCGAACTAATGCCACACTTCAGAGCACTTGATGACAGTTACGACCACTATTTCAAGTTATATCCAGGCTCCAGCTCAACGAAGGCTAAGATTGATGGGAGACTTTCGAAACTGAGGGAGCTATATAAACTGGCCAAGGTTCTCTTTGATTATGTGACACCGCAGGAATATGGGATAACGGACACGGAGAAATTGGAGATTGGCCTTTTGACATCCTTGCCACTCCTTCAAGGAATAGTGAGGGATTTGGAAGAGGTCCAGGCTTCGCCTGACGCAAAGTCTTTCTTCTACTTCACGAAGGAGTCACACATTTATACTCTCCTAAACTGCATCTTAGAAGGGGGGATACAGACCAAGATAGCCAGGACTGCCATTCCCGAGCTGGACTACTTATCTCAGATCTGCTTCGAGCTCTATGAGGCCAAGGACTGTGAATCTTCAACAAATTCCTACTCGATTCGGATATCAATAAGCCCTGGTTGTCATGCTTTTGATCCACTGGACGTGCAACTCGATTCCCGGCATGCCATTGGATGTGCACCAAGGAGGAGCTTGACTGCCCATCAGGACTGGAAAGAGGTTATCGAGACCTTGAAGGCGAGATTCGACACGTAAGTTACGCCCTCAAGCGCTATACATGAAATTGATACTTTCATACTGATCAGTCACTATCATCTTCCAGAGTAAAGCTTCCCAAGACATTCATCGCAGTGAACCTTAGTGATAAGCACGGATCACACTCTTGACGAGAATTCCATATATAATGGTCTCATACACGGGTTTGAGTTCCTGCCATACAGAATTTGTGGCTGTATGGTCTCTCCTTTCCCGTGTGCATTCTCTTGAGCAGGTCTTCTGGTATTAGGCTCATCTATACAGGATGTTGCGGTGCGACACATATTTCCGAGCAATCCCTTCCATGTAGAACAATCTATAGCTTACCAGCGAAAATGGCGAAACAATCATGGGGTCTTAGTTGGTCGAGTTACTTGGTGCCCGGATTGATGACATGATAGTGTTAGTGTGCCCCGCTCTTAGAGCTACTTGGGTCTAGATAGATAGTCCCGCTTAGGAAGCTGACATCCATGGACATTCCTATATATTCCGGCGTGGTCCTGACCTTCTTAGGCCGTTAGTCTACTACTTATTGCTTCTTTTCTGCTTCTTTTCACGCGTCCTTAAGCCCATTCCAATTTTTTCCGGATAAGTGACCTTTAAAACGTTCGCCCCACATGGCATCTTCTGTTGTATATACTGTCGACGTTGAGTGCTCTAATGACTGTGGTGCACACACAGATAACATCCGGTGCATATCCCAACACGATCAAATTGAATTAATAATCGCCTGTGATAGCATTATCTCCATAGTGCCCCAAAAAAAGGATGGGAATATATTGTATCGCCTGCTATTCTTCCGGGATGACGACGACACATGCGACCATGAGAGCAAACACACGTTACTCGAAAGCATTCAGCTAGCTACTTTACCTCCACAATTGCAAAAGCACCTGTTTACGGAGTTGCCGCCTTATCTACGTTCCTCTGGTCCTGAAGGGGCTAAGATAGATATCATTGTTTCTACCACATCTGGAACAGAAACAGGTGCGAGCTTCTGTAGCAACATCCTACAGCCGTTGCTGTCATACATCGGAGTAGCAGATTATGAGCTCCATGAGACGAAGTCGGCTCAAACTATCATAGAATTATGCTACGAGAAGTTCATTCCGCGTGCCAAGCAAAGACTTCCGCAGACAATTATTCTCCTCTCAGGTGATGGAGGCCTAACCGACATAATTGATGCGTTCCACAGTACCCTGGAGAGTCTTCTCGTGCCTCCAACCATTGCTCTCATCCCCACTGGAACAGGAAATGCTATGGCGAATTCAATAGGATTGTTGACGTACCCAACGGCTGGTTTGGTAGCATTATTACAAGGGACACCAACTAGTGTACCTACATTTGTCGCCGAACTTTCACCGGGAGCGAGATATATTATTGACGAAGGCCGTGAAAGAGTCCCCATTACACGCAATTCGGCGAGCTTTCAAGGGAACCCCAAGGTTTACGGTGGCGTTGTTGCGAGTTGGGGTCTTCATGCGGCATTGGTTGCCGATAGCGATACTGTTCAGTATCGCAAGTTTGGAGCCGATAGGTTCAAGCTAGCCGCAAAAGAATTACTCTACCCTTCTGACAGTGCCGAACCCCACAAGTTTAGCGGCAAGGTTACACTTTTCAAGTTGGACGACCAAAGTAGGAGCACGCGCGAAGAACTGCTGGCGTGCACCGAGCATATGTATGTGTTGGCTAGTCTTGTCTCGAGTCTCGAGAAAAATTTCATGATTTCTCCTTGCTCAAGGCCTTTGGACGGTCGGCTGTGGATGGTTCATTTTGAGCCAATGTCGTCATCAAAGGTTATGCAAGTTATGGCTTCTGCATACCAGGCAGGGCAGCACGTGGAGGACGAAAGTGTCTCTTATGGTGAAATTGAAGGATTCCGGATTGAATTTCGTGAAGCAGACGAGAGATGGAGGCGGATCTGCATCGATGGAAAGATTATAGCGGTTGAAGATGGTGGCTGGGTGGAAATCCATAAAACTTCCAGGGCCTTACTTATGATATTGCAGCACCAGAAGGCCTCGCCTGGATGTAATGACGATTGAGATAGTTACCATGAAAGGATAAATCGCAGAGGTCATGCCTGGGGTGGCCACTGCCATAGCCCCTGGCTCAGTTACATTGTACGTTTGAAGTAGTTAAGCTTTGAAGGTCTGGCCACCCGACCCCGTTAGTTAACGTTAACTAGTTAACTAGTTAGTTATCACTGCACTGAGTGACTAATGGTTATTGCTTGTAACTTATGTATTCCACAATCGCGCGGCCCATCTTGTAAAGCTATATAAATTTTATCTTTTATAATAATTATAATATCTTAATAACTACACTTTATATAAAGTCTACGATGTTAAACAAAGATTAATAATAATAAAATCAACATATTTAAAGCATTCAAAAAACTTGAAACTAATTTTCCATATTTAGTTTAAGTGTTATCTTAAATTATAAGTAAATTACTTTTTATATTACCAGCTGTTATATATAATCATTAAAATCTAAAAAAAATTATTAAGAATATATATTTGATTATCATAATCTACTTCTCTAAGATAAAACCATTTCATTCAAAAATGGTTGAGATATTAAAGTTAAAAAAATAACTTTGATATAGCAATATTTGATGGGCCGCGCGATTGTACGGGCCGCACGATTGTGGTTTACGTTTAATCAGTAATTACTGCAATTCAGTTTCGGAGGGTTCTAGCGTGATATGAATGCACTGACTGGACCAGGGTCCAGTGGAGACTACTTATCCATACCTCTTCGTAGCTTTCTACAGCCAATCTAATCATTATACTTCTCAGAAGCGCTACTTGGAGCTATTCGATGGGGGACGTCTCTCTTATTTCTGTAGGTTAACCATAGAAGTGATTTGAACAAGGGAATAAAAGTAGAAATACCAGGCAGAATATCTGCTACCACTAGTACGTATTTAGCGAGCAGAATAGGAGAAGAAAGGCGGTCATGCTAGTGCGGACGGAAACGAAGAACTTATTAGTTAACTAGTGTAAGTAGAGTGTAAGTAGTAATCCTAGCACTTTATTTGACAGTCCTCCCGTCCAGTCAGGGGATACTACACTTTTAGCCATGGCATAATGGACGTATCGGGTGACCGGGCAGCATCTTCTTTTACACCGATCTGCAGGCCTTTCATTGATAGCTTTAATGAAACACATACTTTATCTATCTATCTACCTGGACATAGTCGGCCACCTGCCATATACCCTTACCTGACGTTCAGAGAACCGGTCAGTCATCGTCTACGATGCTAATATATGTACTTGTCTCCCATGTTCATATCTCCACGAACATATTCCGCATCGCAAACACCAGATCAAGGGCTTCGCTTGGCCGCCAGTGAAAACCAACTGAAGTATCATACGCTTCAAGGGTGGCGTGCAGACGCGACAGTTGCTAGCCGAGCTCCTGAAATGTTACTGATTCATCAGGCCGGCAGTGTTCGTGTCGGCGAGATAATCAGGTTTGTGACCTTCATCCCTTAGCTACTCCCTCATCATAGAAGCTACGCTACATGCAAGACCTGTTGCTTATTGAACCTGCCGAAACAGATACACGTTGACGTACACACCTGCGGCGGACAACATCCGCCCTCCTCCGGCTAAGCTACACGTCAAGGTTAAGAATACATCTGCGCTGCCCCTACGAGCTGCATATCTACATGGCCCGTACACTCTCTATGCGTCATGTTATCCGTCCACGTACAACCCGAATATTGGCGTCGACCAACACGGATCAGAGTGTATTCCACAATACGAACCGTATCTCAAAGCAGGGGGCAGTTGGAATGCGGCCTTAATTGTACCCCAGAATACTTGCCACGATCGAGGAGAAATCCACTATGAATCTGAGAAAAGTACGACCTGGGTCATTGAAATCATATCTCAGGTTGTATTCTCGAGCACCGCAACCGTCAATTTCGAGCTGCTAGTTGGTCGTGATGAGAATTCGGTAGAATCACTAGCTACGGGTGCATCCTTCGGTGCCGGGCTACCGAAGGCTGCTCAGTTGCATGAGCACTGGTCAGTTGAGACAAGGGGCAAGCAGGTGCTTGCTACCAAGGGCGTCTACTCTCGTTCTATAACTTTACTATTGGACGACACTGCTAGTCTATGGAACACACCGCATCTTCCACCAGTGGGCTCTGGTGATGAGCAGGCTTCAGCAACAAACGGTGATAACCAAAGCCAGCCGACTAAAGACAACCATATGAAAAGAATTCACCTTGTTGTGTTGACCCATGGACTACACAGCAATCTGGGGGCAGACATGCTTTACCTGAAAGAGAGCATTGATGCCGCCGTGAGGATGGCTAAAAGTAAGGCGAAAGCTAAAGGCCAGGGACACGGAGATCAGCGAAATGCCGAGGCATACCCAGCAATGGAAAGGTAAGCGGAGCGTTGATGCGCCACATGCGGATGCTGCAGCGACCTATTGATTACAGTCATCGGTTGCCTTGCGCGAAATTTTCCACACATGGCTTACAACAAATGTTCTTTTCTTTGTTCTTACGAACTCTTTACTTCCGCATTTTCCTCCCCTTCCGCACTTTGATTATTATCTATTCAAGAAAAAAATTCAATGACTCACATGATGAATTGCTAACTTAAGCCTATAGTAGGCCAGATTGTGAAGACAGCGAGAACGACGATGAGCAGGTAATAGTAAGGGGCTTTCCCGGAAATGCAACCCGCACAGAGCGTGGTATACAGTACCTTGGCAAACGTCTCGCAAAATATGTTCTGCGAATCGCATGTCCGGAGCAGCCTTTCGGTTCCCAGAAAGGTGTAGGAAAGAATCCAGCGCCGTTCACACCGTGGAAGCGAGCCACTGGAGAGCCTTCTCAACATGACCAATCTCGCGATATGTACGGAGAACCGTCGCTCTCTCGGAATGGTGGTTATCAGGTCACCAGTATCAGCTTTGTCGGTCATTCACTTGGCGGTCTCGTTCAAACGTACGCGATCGCCTATATTCAAAAACACTTCCCTGACTTCTTCGACAAAATTAGACCGGTGAATTTCATAGCCCTGGCAACCCCATTTCTTGGTCTAAGTAATGAGAACCCGGTGTATGTTCGTTTTGCCTTAGATTTGGGACTCGTTGGTCGGACAGGCCAGGATTTAGGGCTTAGCTGGACAGCACCAAGGGTGAGGGGTGGCTGGGAGACTTTGATAGGAGGAAGGGGGCATTCTGTAAACTCCCAAGGAGTTTCAGACGCTCGTTCCAAGCCTTTGCTGAGGGTGCTTCCTTGTGGTCCCGCCCATGAGGTTCTTACAAAATTTCAACGCCGCACAATTTATTCCAATGTTGTAAATGATGGAATAGTACCTCTGCGGACCTCTTGTTTGCTCTTTCTTGACTGGAAAGGGCTTGACCGGGTTGAAAAGGCTAGGAGGGAAAATGGCATTGTGGGCACCATGGCCGAATGGGGCTGGGCAGAATTGACAGGAGCTAATTCAAATTCTTCACGGACCCATCTGACCAGCGAGGTAGAACTGACAATCACCAATGAGCAGAGCAGCTATGGCAACGGGGCTCGGTCAACAACAGACGATGCCTCTGCGGAACAAGATGTTTCAATCGCGGCTGGTGTTACAAGCTGTACAACTAAATCCCCGTCATTCGAACAGCATCGGTATCCTGCTTCATCTGGAAACAGTGTAAATACTACTCCCAGACAAGTCTTGTCTCGATCTACGTCAATGGGCCCATTGTCCAAGATGTTTTCAATTCTGCGACCGAAGGAGACAGCCAGAACACAGTCGGGAAATAAACAAACGAGGATATACAAACGCAGCCAAACCGTTGACACACTTGGTGGTATGGAGAGCCCAACCGTTGCCAGTTCTTACGCTCAGGGACCCTCTGCTGCTGGCGACTTCCATGATTATGGGCCTCATACCCCTCCCCAAACTACGTTCTTCGAATCAGCTAGTGATCTTCTTATGCCGCCTCTTCCTTCCATAGACTTTATACTCGATCCCGCTAAGAGGCCGAGAACAATATTCCATGATCGCATCTACAACCCCGAAGATATACCGCCCCCGATGGCGCCTAAGCGGCGAGCATTGACATTGGGATCTCTACAACAAAAACCATCGAATGCACAACCTGCTCCGAGAGTTGATTCCCGGGAGAAGTCACTTCCCGTCAACGAAACTGAGAGTGGCCTTAGGCTCGAAGAAAAAATCGCTAGAGCTTATCACCGTGATTTGTCATGGCGCAAAGTCCTTGTCCGCCTTGAGCCTGACGCTCACAATAACATTATTGTACGGCGAATGTTCACCAATGCCTATGGCTGGCCTGTTGTGCAACACCTCGTCAATACCCATTTCGGACCTCCATCAATAGCTCGCTACAATGATGCAAATGGACAGTGCGCTGACCCGTTGAATGCATCGGCAACCGAAACTGAAAGCTCGAAGAATGGTGATGAACCTCGAGGTACTTTACAAGAACCACAATTGGATACATGAAGTTTGTTGCCAATGTTACACATAGTGGAAGGAATTCAGCGCGGTGCGTTGAACACTCATTTCAGGTCTAGACCCAAACCCACATACAATCCGGGGTCAAAGTAAAGGAATCTATTAGCCGATACTGGTTTCTTTTGAAGTTCTCGCGTTCCATGGCTTCATGCTTCCGTTGGGATCTTGAGGCTTGCCAAGATTGCTCAGCATGTACGCCAATATGTGTTGATTGCTTTTCGATTCGTATGATAGGTCTCCTATCAGAACTGGGGCTAAGGAGGAAAGTGCTGGCTGCGTCCATATATATATTCAGCTGAAGACTCAAATACTTGCGCATGTAGAGATGCATATTTACGTCATATAGTATATACTATTGTAATTTTACTCATTCACAGCACAGTATATTTGCACACCGTAAACGATGATACTGATTTGAGACATAACTGACTCACGGTAGACCGAAGCATTTGATCCGCTAAGTGCGGGTATCAGTATTCAAAACTTCCTTGAATCTGCCCCCAAAACTCCTTAATGAGCTCCAGCCTGCTGTTCTCATCGGAGCATGCTCTAACAGCAAGGTATTTTCTTCCATCGAGAGTTGCTTCCCACGTTCCTGGGTTTCCATCTATCATGACACCACCTGCTTCGGTCAGTATTACCCAGCCTGCACAAACATCCCAGGCCCAGCAACCTCCTTCCCAGTATATGTCTAAAGTCCCAGCTGCGACAGCACAGAGGTTCAGCGCCGCAGAACCCATGCTGCGCATCGAACGGACCATTGCACCGCCATCTTCCTTTGCTCGGCCGAGTTTCTCGAAAGTTCGCACCTTTGTTTCCCAATTGGCACCTGTCCTCTCCGAGCCCCACTCAATACCGATGAGTGAATTTTCCAGGCCTTTCAATGGCCCTATATCATTGCCCTTTAAGGGAAGCTTGGTGGTGCGGTTCAAGTATGACCCACAGCCTTGTATTGCAGAATAAAGAGTGCGAGTTAAAGGGTTGAAGACGACACCTACAATGGGTACACGGCGAACAGCGAATCCAAGAGAAATACAGGAGCAGGGAAATCCATGCACAAAATTGACCGTACCATCGATAGGATCAACTACAAACGTGGGTGCATCTGTTAGGGGATGGGCTGGGTCATAGGTCTCCTCTCCATGAAACCTGTCGGTCATGTAAGTCAAGAACAACATCGAGTTGAAAGTAAGATGGTGTCAGTGAGAGTGAGTGCAGTGGGCCGCACTTTAAAGCGCAGGTAGGTGAGGAATGGACCATGAAGCATGGTTGTTGGGGGAAGGGGGGATGATAAAGAAGTCCGTATAGACCTACTGGTATGATGGATATTTTTCCATTAAGGCAGAGGATATCATAGTTTCAACGGCTTTATCATATCGAGTGACGATATCAGCAGCTAAAAGGATAGGGTTAGCGGAGCTTCGTTCATCTGCACGACCAAACCGCATAGCTACATTGCGTGTACATCAAGCTGGTGGGGCATATATGGTAGTCTTACAATTCATCTTTGATCCAGTACTATCATCGGTAGGTAGAGCGCTGTTGATGATATCCCCAGCACGGAAGGCCAGGCTGATCAGGAAATCATGGATCTCGTCAAGATCAATGGGTTTACCGTCATGTGCGTAAGATTTAGGAGCCATGGTTCTCATGCATAGGAAAGGAGTCCGAAGGAAATGGAAAAGTGTCTTTGACTCTTAGTGGATGCTCCGTTTGTACAGTGGGATGGGCACCAATTTATGGATTAAATACCAGGGTACGAGGAAGAGAGATACAAGATGGTGAGGAGGTCTTCAAATTGAACGAGAAGCCGCTCACGCGTGAGAACGGAGAGGGGCCCCCGAACCTTGTCTGTCTGATGCTTTTGGTTTTAGCCATGCCCGGCTCGGGCCGCCGAATGTACTGAGCCTATTTCATCTAGTCTACGTATGTGAGGGGTAGGACCTTCCTCTGTTGGCAGGTCGGTTGACTGCTTGTCCTGGCGGTAGTGATATTGAACTCGGTCGTGAGTACCACATCTATGGGACTTGTGGATTGCTGGGAAATTTAAGTTTGAATGTCCTGTAGTCTAATTTCGAATATAGGGATACCCCAACTATGCCCGTTGAAGAGTGGACTGGCCGGTTCGGCATCCGTGGCTCTGTGCTCGCAGATGTCATTCTGCATCCATGAATCAGGAGTGTTGCGCAATGCCAGTGAGGAAGAAGATCATTTTTGCGCCAAGGTCCAACTGGCTCAGTTCTTTGTTTAAGAGGGCCCTTAGCACCAATCGACAGCATTCAAACAATGCAGCCTGGATGGTGGTCTGACCAAGGATACTGATTACCAAACAATTCTTGGAGACGTGCATGTATGCTGCTTCACAAGCCTTATTGCCACCTCAATCTTGACTGGAGATCAATGACCCGGGCCCAGTTCTTTGTTCGATATCCTTGGAACCTATTTACAGCTGTGAAGCAGTGTTTACTGGGTTGTGGTCTCATCCGGGGCATTGGATGATAAATGCTTCGTAAAGCCCATCAAGCCGTTTTACCACGAGTTCATCAGACCAGTGGCCATCGCATCTTCCCGAAATGCCATGCCACCATCATAGCAATATACAACACCATTCCGAGGCTTTACTCGCTTCATTACCAGGAGGCGGTGATGAGAAAGTCTCTGTTAATGCTGCTGGTCTAAACCGGGAGGAGCTTCGTCAAGAAGCTACCCGGAAAAGCATCAGTGAACTGCGTTCGGTCCCCAGCAGCAGAGTCTGGATTACCACCAACAGATACTGCACCATCGGAAATAGCATGGACAGGCTGGAAAGATACTTGCACAACATTTGGCATTTATATTACCAGGCAGGTAGGTATCTGTCACATGAGAGTCCTGAGCATGATGCTATTGTCCTAGATATCCCCCGCATTCAGGGCAAAGGCCTACTATCTAGGCTAGTAAAAGGGGTACCTGGTGTTGATTTGGCAAGGAACTGAGATGACAGATTTTGGGATGATTTCCCTTTCATTGTACCAGGCATGACAGACTACTGAACGGGTTCGTGACAATGTCTGGGACCTAGCGGCTTAACTTGACCTCCTTTCTCTCGCTGAAGTGGCCTCAACTCGCGTCTGCAAGGATCAACTCTGTCGGATTGCCGCCTTCCTGCTCCGCGTTACTTTGGAGGAAAGAAATAGATCACCACCCCATTAATAGGACAATCGAAGAAGACCCATTACGCACGATGAAGTAGGTTTCAAAGGCAGACTTGCTGCCCTTTGCCTACGCGTGGTTTAACGGGCTGGCGAGAAACTTGTCTAATTGACGAATATCTCGTGAAAAGATAGCCCGAATTTGATTAGGCGCGGTAGCTGGCAATTCAATGAATGGCAAATAGCACAGCAGCCGCAGCCCGGCTTCACTCCTTGGAGGTGATTGTTCTGGCCTGAAGAAGTCGTTGAGGCCACACGGGGATGAAGGCGAGGAAGACGAGAAGGAGAAGGAAGGCGAAGAGGCCGGCATCAATGAGAAAATGGACAAAGCGAGTGCGGTGGGTAAGGACTCTGTTCAGGATTGCTCCCTTCCATGTTGTATTGACTCACCCTTGCAACTCCCCCCTGCCTTGATGCTGTCGCAGCTCCCTGGAGCGTCAATAGTACATTGTGAGTTTTCTTGTAAGTCAGCATGCGCACAATCATGCTAAATTCGATAACACATATTTATGGCCCTAGGGCTCTCAGCCCTTAGTTGATCAGGTGGTGACAATAGGGTTATGTTCTGTCTCTGAGACAACCATATAACTTTGTATACATCGCGGGGCACGCAACTCGGAAGAGAGGGGTCACCGCCCAGCCCAGTATTAGAAGGTCCTCCTCTCAATCACGAGCAGTGTCTAACACCGCGCGTTTGTTTTACCGAAATCCAGTAGTCTGTCTCGATACTTATACATGGAAACTTCACATGAATGTAGTATTTCAAGCCAGATTGAACAGGAGGAACCTACTATGGCTGGATGGCTACCCAATCGAGTGGGCGGTACCGAAGTCTGAAATAGTTGACCCCCACCAGCCGGCGGGAAAAGAAGACGAAGAAAAGGAAGAGAAAGCACATATTACATTGATATCAGCGTGTGCAAATTGTCGCCTCTTTTACCTCTTCCCTCAATTTGAAGTTAAGAACCCTTTAACATGCCGACAGAGCTAGAAGAGGTAGGTAGAACCATGCCTTTGACTGAAAGGAAGCCCAGGGTCCTCAGTTTGGAGACTGATGTATTCGCATCGACCAGCTTGTCGAATTCCTCCACCATGGAAACACCCCGATCAGACAGATTGGTAAGCTACAGATTGCGTAGACTTCTGCTGCTTAAACCGCAGGTTTCTGCTATCTTCATATCTCGCCATCTTCCGAGGCATACATCAGCGTCATTCTAACTTCTGGTCTTTTCAGCATGCGAAAATCTAGTGGGCTTTTCGGTCTCACAACCAGAACTTTTCAAACGCCACCAGCTTCTCCCAGTCCGTGACTTGAAGCTTTTGGTCCGCGACTACACAGTCAGTACTCGGGTCCTTCATTTGTGCCGACAAACATTGACCAAGGCATTCGCTGATCTTCTTCCGACCCTGAAAGCCTATCGCCAAAAATGCGATAACAATACTTATCAACCTTTCGGCCGATGATGAGGTCTTAGCGGCTCTTGCGGAAGACGATGCTTTCGTCGAAACCCTTTTAGTTAAATTGACGGTGAGTTGTCTAATTGATAGCAATATCTGCATAGCGGCCTAACACCCAGTTCTACAGAATGTCAAGGAGCCGAATGCGGATGATGTCGCCATGCTGTTCGCCAACCTCGCGAAATCTGAAAAAATGAAAAAATTGCTCGCGCTGAAACGGAAGGTTCCTGAGGGGGTATCCAGTTCTGCTAATGCGATCGATCAGCTGATGGACTGTTTCGTCAAAGGGGCCGAGGGCACCCTTAACAAAAACGCCAATTTCGACTATCTGTCCTATTTGTTTGCTGATCTCTCAAAATATGAGGAAGGGCGGGCCTATTTCACTACAAAGCAAGAGTACGATGATGTTGTGCCAGTGACGAAACTAACCGTGTTCACGGAACACGCGAGCGGGATCCGGAGAAAGGGAGTCGCGTCAACTATCAAAAACGTCGCATTTGACCTGCCTTTCCATCCCAAACTCATGTCTGAAGACGAGGCTGATATTCTTCCCTATATCTTGTTGCCTATCATGGGCCCTGAGGAATATGATGACGAAGAATCTATGGATATGCTGCCAGATCTCCAGCTGCTGCCGCCCGACAAACAAAGAGACAGCGACACTAGTATCATTGTGACACACCTTGAGACTCTGCTGCTGCTCACCACGACGCGTGAGGGACGGGATAAGATGAGGGCCATCAAAGTATATCCTATAATCCGAGAATGTCACCTCCATGTTGATGACGACGCTGTTCGGGAAGCCTGCGATCGGCTAGTTCAGGTTTTGATGCGGGATGAAGAGGGCGAAGAAAAGCCGCATCCCCCTATCGACAGGAATGTATATGATGATGACCAAAAGGTTGAGGAGCTATTCTAAGGAACTGCATTGAAAGGTGCGCATGTGTTGTGAGGCATTTGGGAGCCCGTACCAATAGACGAGCCTAGTGGCCTTTATACATACAAAACATCCAAAAAGTCTTCAAAAAGATTCATCTTTTCAAATTTTCTCGATAGTGAATTGAACTGTAAGCTTTGGCCGTCATGTATTGTAGTCTAGACCTGTGACGCTGTTGTCAGACTGAAGTCTAGTCAAACTAGTTACTTAAAGTAGTTAGACGGGTGCATTTGTTCGCATCGTTGACAATACTATACAATATGTATACATTTACCTATATGACCAGCCTGCTTGCCCCAGGCATTTCGCAGGATATGTCAGACTGAAAATAGACCATACCCACAGTCCGCTTTGTATCCAATACTTCAAAGTATTTCTTTGATCTGTACAGGCCGAGGTAAATGGTAATTCACATAGTAGTGATAATGTCCAATAGACACCATAAGGGCTGACAACTTGAGTGAGTTTCTGTAAAAATACAATGTAGCCCACAGTGACATTATCTGAGCAGTGGTAACACCAGACGGAGTATGCCGTTGTACCTTTGTGACGCCACTACCTTTGTCAACAAGTGAAAGTCCACTTACGTAATCACTTTCACTTCAGTCATCTCGCGTCCGCCCGGCTTCACTTCAAGTACTCAACGCCTGAGTAGTTATCTACTCTCGCTCGAGATCTTCATCTTCCACCCGGCACACCGCATGAATCTGACAATCTGACTCTGGCCTTAAGCACAACACTTGCAGTATTCAAGCCAGTTTTCCTCGAAGACTTGCCAAGGGCTTCCCTGACCCCGACAAGTACCACAGAACGTTATTATGACCACACCTACTAATGATCAGACTCTCAAGACCCCGATGGGGTCGAACGGTCCTCCACCACTGCGCATTCGCCGGCCAAAAGTGGCTGATCCTCTAGTGCGACCGAAGAGGAGACCGGCAATGAGACCCCCAGCTCCAACGTCGGCAGCAAATGGCGCATCAAGAATGCCCAACTCCAGACCAGTCACTTCGGGCCAGCTACCAGGGGCTCGCGCTGAGAAAAGCTTGACCCCAAAGAATGATTTCTCGGCAAATGGTTTCAGCGGCCCGTTGTTGTCTGAGAATTACGTTGATTACCCCATCGTGACTACAAGACGAGCATTGCGCGAAGGCTTGAAGCACCATATCGCCAGGTTCACCTCGAAAAAGTCCGTCGATCCTCGCGACGAAAGTCAGTTTACTCGCCCCGTTAGGCTCCAGCGCCGAGATCCACGAGCACGACCGAACGACGCGAACGTCGAGAGAGGCCAACTCAATTCGAAACCCGGCTCCGAACAGAGTACCCAGATGGATGAACTTGAACGCGAGGAGTTGGAGGCTAGAAAAGCAGCTCGTGAAAAAGAGCGCGCAGATAATATGGCCCAAATAGCCCCTTCCGTCGGCTCAGCGCCGAAGAGGCATAATGCCCCCAAACAGAAAACCCAGCAAGTGACTAAAACAGACATGACCCCCGAGGAGATTGCCAGGACTCGGATCAAGTATGAGGAGGCCCTTCCGTGGCACTTGGAGGATTTCGACAACAAAAACATCTGGGTAGGAAATTATGAAGCCGCGTTGTCAGAGACCCACGCAGTCTTTGTGCTTGAGAATACAGGGAAGATGAGAATGATACCGGTTGAGAAGTGGTATCGCTTCAGCGCGAAGAATACATTCAAGGCTTTGACCATAGAAGAAGCCGAGAGACTTATGGCTAAGAAGATCAAAGATCCGCGGTGGTTCATGGAGAAACAACAAGAACAAGCTCAACGGAAGGAACTGGAACAATTTGCCAGACAACAAAAAGTGTACGCTGGTAAACAGGGAACCCCAGGCGGTGTCGAAGGATTAGAAGCGGATGAGATGGATTTCGAAGAGGATAGATTTGCCGATGATGAGGAGCATGATGATCTTTTCAACGAGGATGAGGAAGCCAAGGCTGCTGAAAAGCGAATCAAGCAAGACCAATTGAAAGCCAATGTGTTTGATCTGAAGAACGAAAAGGACTATGAAGAGGAGGAACTTAGAGAGAAAAGAGAAAAGGAAGCCCGTCGAGTGCTTGGAAAGAAAGTACGCAAGGCCCTCCAGAAAAGGGAAAAGAATTATGATTATAGTAGCGGTTCAGACGTGAACCCTTATTCAGATGAGGAGGTACATTTTTCGTCCTTACCCTTTTCATATGTACATTTGTACAGGATTTTTTTTTTTTTGGTGACGATCTGACATTGGACAGAGCTCGGACGACAGTGAAGCCGAACGACAGAAGGAGGAGGAAGAGGGCAAAGCCGAGGAGGACAAGAACAAGAAAGAGCCCTCAAAAGGCAACCTTACTCCATCAGGTCGCTCACGACATGCCGATCCGACCAAGAAAG